AAGTAGAAAAATAGGGACCACCTTTGGTGGGAAGGTAACAGCGTTCCATGTGCCTTTGGCAGTTAGTCATGCCGGCCACATGACCACAGAGACATCTTCAGACAGTGCTGGCTCTCCAGCATTGTAACAGAGATGAGCACTGCCACCTAGAATCGGGAACAACTTGCACATATGTGTGAGGGTAACGTTTACCTTTTACCTTTATTAAGAGATTGGATCATCTCAGCCCTGCTTGGTTTGGTTGGGTTCATCAGTCAGAACTTTGACAAGTATGTCTCAACCTCAGCAACTGGCTAGAGAATTATGTAAGTTGAATGCCATACAACTTAAAATAGCTGATATTGAGAAACCCTGGTCTACAGCGGGGAAGAACCCAAACCCTTAGAGGCTATAAATGTATTAGGCCAAGTGATAGTTTACAAAGTCTCGGGCATTTAGGTGCCAAACTTTTTCATCAGACAAATTGTCTGACTCATGGCGTACATGGGTCATCTTAGAATACATTTGAACCAAGTCTCTTATATGGAGTCCATCTAATCGAATCCATCAACTAATATGAGTAGACTACCAAAGTCAGCCACATTTTTTCCTCTTCTCCAAAAATTCTTTAAAACTGGTTTGGTTGGTATTTTTGAGTCTATTTTATAATAGTGAGATAGTTGGAAGTACAAATACTGTTGTTTCTTTTACTCATCCATCTCTTTGCAATTTCCCCCACTTCCTAATCTCACAAAAGTTCAACATGAGTACTTTTGCGATATCTTTCTCTTGAATTTAACTGAAATAAAGGAGGGGAGAGGAAGCCACAGACTTCAAGAGAGATGATTATAACATGAAAGACTGAAAACGGTCAGATGGTTGCTTGTCTGTTAAAATTAATGAAAGAATCCTGCCTCCACATCTAAAATAATTTCATCAAAATTTTAATTCACTTCCTAATTAATTCATTTAAACTTCCTTAATATGTAGAAATGAAACATTCATGATTTAAAGGAGGACTGTGATAAAAATTGCACTTTGAAATAAAGCAGTGGTGAAATCCAATTTTTTTTAGTACCGGTTCTGTGGGCATGGCTTGGTGGGCGTGGCTTGGTGGGCATGGCAGAGGAAGATACTGCAAAATCTCCATTCCCTTCCCACTCCTGGGGGAAGGATATTACAAAATCTCCATTCCCACCCCACTCTGGGACCAGCCAGAGGTGGTATTTGCCGGTTCTCTGAACTGCTCAAAATTTCCGCTACCAGTTCTCCAGAACCTGTCAGAACCTACTAGATTTCACCCCTGAAATAAAGGTTAGTATTGTGGTTGTGGAGTGGAGACCAATATGGAAACCAGACAACTGTCCTTCCTTCCACTGTAAACAGAATGGCATGAAAGAGGTAAGTATGTGGATACAATAATAACTATAATTTACAGAACAGGATGACGTTAGCTAGCAGGATAGAATTCTTGTAGTGTGAAGAATTGCAGAGGCATCACAGTAAGGCTCCCCCCCCCCCACCATTTCTTATCAAAATCATTCCAGGGTAAGGATCACACTGTGATTTTTAAAAATATATATTTTTTATCTTTCTTATGCAGTGCAACACCTGTAACCTTGCTTTGTTTTCAACTCTTCTGCAATTGCTTGGTGAGGAGCCCAGGGATCACTGTAATTTGTGCATGCCAATAATACATACTTTCTCCAATTGCTTTGGCTCCTTATTTAAGTAGGCATTTTTTTCCCAACACTAAGTAAATAAGTGCTGTTACCTTTCCATCAAATTAAATGAGAATGGTAAAAATCATGCAGAAAAGTGCAGAGGAACAATGAATAAATATTTGTTTTACCCTGCATGGTGGTGGCTATGATGCTTTGTTGAAAGGGTTGTTTCCAGTGAGTTTTTTTTTTTTTAACACTACTTGGAGTGTGGTGATATGGCCAGTATACAAATATTGTAAGTAAACAAATAACACCAATCAAGTTTTTTTTTTTAAATGGGAAAGACTGCAGAGGAAACCAATACATATGTACACACAACATACACATAACCCAACACAAACGCAGGAAGATCTGAGAATAACAAACATATCACAGAAAGGAAATAGAAGTCCAGTTTATTAAAGAAGATTGCAGACAGCCGAAGTGATTTTAAAGAAGAATGCTAAGAATAATAAAATAAGGCTTTGTTATATATGTTCAAAAGAAAAAAACCTAATATATCAGAGGTGCTCCATGATGGTAATATGATTACAGGTAATGAAGAAACAGCAGAACTACTGTCCAATTAAGAAAGATCTATATATTTCACAAATATCTTGTGAAAAACAGGACGTGTGTTGGTTTCCTCTATAGTCTTTCCCATTTTTGAAGGAGTGGAATTGAAACTCGAGACAGATAGAAACATGGTCAGGGAATACGTATTTACTTGGAATGAGTTAAAATCTCCAGGATCAAAGAAATCACATCATAAGGCTAGCTATATATTCTCTTTGAGAAATCCTGGAGAAGTATTGAAGTCCCTGATGATTGGAGAACAAATATTGTCTGTTATCTTCTCAATAAATAAAAAGAAAAATTCAGAATAAAAAGAAGACATATTAAGATATGGGCCATTCAGTACAACAGATCCTAAAGACACATACTATAAGCATTTTGACAAGAATGTAGTCATTACAAGTGGTCAACATGGATTTGTCGAGAACAAATCATGCCAAAAGTATCTTAACTCATAATTCTAGTTCAGATAAATTGTTTAATAGAATATAGAAATGCTATAGACATCATGTATGTTGAGCATCAAATAATTTGAGAAACTACTCCATGACTTGCTCAGTGGCAAGCTAGATAAGAGTGAATTGGATGGCATGAAAATTAAATGACTATAAAAAAGGCTCAAAAGTGATATTCAGAGTGCTCATCAAGGGATGTTATCACATTGGAAAGAAGTATCAAGGAATAATGCCACAAAGAACAATCATAAAACTTCTGTTTCCCAATATTTTATTCATCACATGGATGAAATCAAGTCAAAGATGTTGATGGAGATGTGTTCAGAACTTAAAGAATGAATCCTTTTTAATTTAAAAGAGATTTATTTGTTTATAATATTCATATGGCTGTCACATCACAAACAATAAAAATGGTTAAACAAAAGCTAAGAAAAACTATGCACATAATCCATCATCTGCATCATTCATCCCCAGACTCTAACCTTACAACTTTTTATAGCTTTCTGAAAGACTAAGAGGGTGGGTGCTTACCAGATCTCAAAGGGAAGTACGGTATGTTCCACAATACAGGAGCTGCTTTGAAAGTGGGTCCCACTAGATAGTAAGATTTAAGGGAAGGGCCTGAAGCATATCCACACTCTCTGATCTGGTGGAATGTGCAGATACTCTCAGGAAGAGGTGGTCCCAAAAAAATAACTTGGTTATAACTTCGTCCCATGTAAGGCTTTAAAAGGTGGTAACCAGCATAGTGATATTGGTATTGTTAAAATGTGTACATTGCCTGACTTCTAGTGTGATTCTGCGCCATTCACAAATTCCAATAAAAGAAAAACAGGAAAAATAACCACATAATTGAAACAAAGGAGCAAAAAAATAGCAAACCCAAGCAATAATAAAAACCTACATATACTGTCAGTAGGGGCTTTAAGTATGCTAATCAAAGGTTGAAATGCTACCTTAGTTTTGCCAAACCATTTTCAGCCTGTGAAACCAAGTCTAAATTTCAGTGCAGCTGTCTATAGAAAAAAAATTACTGAAAAAATGTGAAGATATACCATAAAAGGGAAGGAATGTCTTGGAACCTGTTCCTTTGGTAACAAACTGGTCTAATGTTACTTGTAGTAAGAGAGATCAAACTGGAGTCCCGAGAACTGTCATGCCTTCTTTAAATGCCCTAGAAATAATTTTTCATAGATAGCCATAGCATAGCATAGCATAGACAGCATAGATGTTATTTTTTTTCCCTGCAGCTGAAATTAGTAAGGATTTTTATATGTCTTTCAAAATAATAATGGGCTAATGAGGCTAGCCTTGATTTTTCATTGTTACTTTCAATTGCACTCTTTAAGCTAGTCAAGTAAAATAACCCCAACATTTCAGTTCAACGTCAATTAAAATCTGAGACATATTTAAATATGTATGATACAATATTCAGTCCACCAGCCAAGGGGAAAAGAGAGGCCATTTTTCTTTAATTCACAAAAGAGTAACATAGAAGGTAGATTTTAACTTCGCTACAGTGCCATGGCAACTGCCTAGAGGAGAGGGATGCCAAGTGACAGCACACAAATCCTGACATCATTACCCAAATGATATCATAATATTCATGGCAACATGATGGCTGCGATCAAAAGCCTAGCACATATAGTGTTACAAAGTGGAAGAAGCTAGGTTTTTTTAGATTTTTGGTTCACATCACCTTTGCATGCCTTTTCCCATAAACCACTTCCATCTTAATTGTGGTGCTTACGTTTAAGTTCTTTGCTCTCAAATGCACAATTCTAAATGCATTTTTCCTTTACGTTTTATATCTTCGTGGCATGGGAATATTTGGGAAGTTGTAGCTGGGAATCTGGGGAGCAGCTGTATAACATTTCTAGATAACACTAGCTTGGGAATTTATCATTCATCTGCAAACCTGTAGCACTAAAGCTACTCTAACTGAACTGCATACAATAACATTGGTAGTGAGAGGTGAAGTAGTGCAGTTGAAATACCCAGTAAAAAGGAAGGGGATAAGTTATAAAACATAGAGATTTTATGTTCAAGAAGCAAAAGAAAAGAATTACTTTGTTTGATTACCTCTAACAACCATTTCACTTTTCCTACAGCAAATTGTAGGTATTTTATTATTTCACCCTTGTGCCTGTGTTCTTTTGCTCCTTCTTCATTGTAATGAGCAACAAAGACAACTGATGAAATTGTATTCATAGCTCACAGAAAAGTGAAAAGTGCAATATGCAGCAGCATCTCGGAGACGACTGTTCTGCCTCTGTGTCTTTTGCAGAGTAGACTCTCAGACTTCAGAGCATGTTGGGGAAAGGCTGGCCCTGCTGTGGCTAAGATAAAATGATATGCTTCAGGCAATACAATGAGCAGGATAATGCATGAAAGTAAGATTTGGTAACTGAACAGTGGAATGCTTTCTAAAGTATTGGTCCTACCAAAAAGACACAGGTGAGGCTCTTGGAGAGCACAATTTGTGTGTTATTATGTTAGCTTTCAAGGAGTCAATAGCCTATAAGTTGTTAGTACGGTAGTACATATTATTATAATTTACATAAAAATTGTAAATTTCTTATCTATCATTGTAATTTTAACATCTAGATTGTAATTTAAACTTCTGTCACCTGACCTGCTAGCAAATAGCTAGGAGTAGACTATATGGAATATTTTCCCATTGTTATAAGGAATTGTCTTTTTATTGTATTTTATGTGGAAGGGGGAAATTTCCGAATGGGTGGGGGTGAATACTATCTTTCAAGTTGATCCCCAACTTATATAAAGAGAAAGCCACATTACTGCCAAGAGCCAGGGAAGAAAATTAGTGATTTGAAAAAAAAATGGCCATTTCACAATACCTGTTTTGACAATGGTTGTACCATTTAAACAATAGCAAAAAGAGATAGCTAAATATATATATGACAAGAGGGAAAAACACAAATGAGATATAAAGTGTAGCAAGATTGAAACAAAATAGGACTGGGTTTACTAGAGTTGAAATTGTATTTCACTGCTTGATGTTTGATTTGGACAAAAGAATGGATTCGCTAATAAATAAGAGACTTTTACAGTCCCAACCTGAGCTTTGAATGACATGGATACTTATGGTATGGCATAACCAGTTGGGGGAGTGGTTAAGAAATCAGGCTACAACTAGGAGACCATGAGATCTAGTTAGGCACAAAACCATGTTGGTGACCTTGGCCAGTCACTTTCACTCAGCTCTGGGAAGGAGGCAATGGCAAATCACTTCTGAAAAACCTTGCCAAGAAAACTGCAGGGATTTTTCCAGGTGGTGTCTGAGAATCGGACAGAATTGAACAAAAGAATAAAAAATTAAAATTAATGTGGACTTTAAAAATAATTGTATTAGACATGCCATATTGCAAATATGGAATAGTTACAAACCCAAGTTGTGCCAAAAATATTTTTATAAATCTTATCTTGAAACATATCATAGAAGAGAACTGGCAGATAGAAATATGGGTGACATACCATGACTAATTGGAAAACTATCAAGGGAAATTTAAAATTTACTAACAGAGGCATATAATTGTCAATGCTTTTCCCATTTGGGGATTAAAAGATGGCCTAACTCCCATCTTTTAAATTTTTAAATCTTTTAATTCGTGATTTTATAAATTGGGTGTTTTAATCTGTGTTTCGGCCGAAATATTTAATAATTTTAAGGGATTTTTTAATATTTGTATTATCTTTATTTTATCTTGGCTGTTCACCGCCCTGAGTCCTTCGGGAGTATGGCGGTATAGAAATTTGATTAATAAATAAATAATAAATTTACAGTTATCTGAAACATTTAAAATGGATAAAAAGATATATGTTATGGAGCAAAGAAAACCAGAATATGAAATACAATTATATAATGATAAACATGTAATTGCTAAAATTTTGTTGACAAGTCAAATTTTTGGTTTAAATACATAGATGGATCAATGGAAAAGATGTAGTTAAAATGAATTTACATTGAATTTACATTACATCGATGAAATTTACATTGTGTTTGATCTCGATGGAAATTTTTATAAAATGATGTATTGGTACATGATGCCAGAGAAATTATCTAGAATGTATAAAGGTGTTTCAATATACTGAATATTGGAAATGTGATTTTAAAGATCAATATTCAATTGAAGCTGGAACTTTTCTTTTAGAAAATAAATAAAATAATAAATAATATTGAAGATTATTTCAATATATCATGATTGTGACATGATTACTTATGCCCAGTGATGGAAAGATTCAACATTACCAAGTATGGTTGGTGTAGTTTCAATGTTTAGATAGGATAGTTTATAGAAATAAGAGTAATATAATGTAACTTTAGAGAGAGGAGATAAAAAAACTTGTACTTACAGTATAACTGCTGTAAAGAATATTAGAAGCCACTTTTTCACTCCTTACTTTATATTAGTTTGATTAATTTTTATTTTCTTGTTTAAAGATTTTGATTAAAATTATACAAGAAATATGGCCATATCAATAATGAGACAATTTACTTCTTTCAACCAGCCACAACATCCTTATCAAGACTGCTTTTCTTTCTAAAAGTTCAATAGTATTTTTATATCAAGGTTGGATTTTTATGTATATTGTCACTTGAAACCCATGGAACCAGGATTCATTCATTAAGTATAGAAAGCACGGAATGCCAGAAGCACACAATTGCTTTTGCAGTCCCTACCTGTAAATAACATACTAGCAAAAGATACTATGTCAATGCCTGGGAGAGTTTTGATTGATCTAGTAGATTCCCACACACACTCAAATTCATTGCAAATTCTGAAATGGAGGTTTTATACCTCACGTCTTGAATTGTTTGTTTCCAGTTTCACAGAATGTCGCTGAAATTTATTCTGCTTTTGTTCTTGGTTATTCTCACACAATTTGTCAGGAAAAATGCTTTTAAATGAATCAAAAACAGAAAAATGCAAAGATTTTATGCTTGGTTCATCTGTTTATCATAATTAGGCTCTGTGTGTGTGTGTGTGTGTCTGTCTGTGTGTGTGTGTGTGTGTGTGTGTCTGTGTGTGTGTTTCCTTATTTTCAATATGAAATCATATGTCTGGTAATCTTCAGACTCCCAGCTTTTCCAGATTGAATTAATATGCAAAAGAGGATATCATCATATAACTATTTGTCTGGGTCTTTTCCATATCTGAAAACTTTGACAACCAGAAAAGCTGAGGAATGTTGGAAAGATGTGTAAGAAAAGGAGAACGTGGACCACTTAAATACCTTCTAAGAACAAAGTAAATTTTTAAAAATTAACACAAGAAATGTGAAAGCTCCCTGAGAAGATGGAGGGAAACAAGAGAGCCTTGTGGAGAGAATCAATTTTTGTGAAATTCAAGGACAGATTTCAGCACCCTTCCTTTCTTCTTTTGATTAAAGTAATGTAAGATTACCACAGATTCTACGTTAATGTTTGCTTTTATTCTGATTTCATCTCAAAATTTGTAAAAACTATAATTCAATAAAATTGTTTTGCATTAACATCATTAATATATTTCCATGCATTTTGACTGGAGATGGGATGGGCTTCCAAACTTCATGGCCAAGTCCACACACTGTAGCTTTCTTAGCAACATTTTCAGAAGAGGATTGCCGGTGCCTTCCTCCATGATATTTTGTTATTTCCTATCCTTAAGGAAAGACTGGAACCCCAGAATGTTCAATCTATCTTCTTAATAAATAAATACTGTTCAGTGTACAGTATTTATTTATTAAGAAGATAGATTGGGTGTCAAACTCAAGGCCTTGGGGCCAGATCCAGCTCGCAGGTGCTGAGATCTGGCTTGTGGTCCTGGCCTGGAAAAATCAAACGACTGGCCCACGGTGCCTTTGCCAGCAAAAACGGAGCTTGGGAGGGTCACGTGGGGCCTCCCAGACCCTATTTTCAGCCACAATAGCCTCCTGCAGCCCTCTGCTGTGAAAAAATGGAGCTCCATTTTCTCTGGCAGAAGGCTGAAGCAGGTCATTGCAGCCAAAAATGGGGCATGGGGGGCATGCGTGGCCCACCAAAACTCCATTTTCACTGGCAGAGGGCTGCAGGAGGCCATCATGCCCAAAAATGGAGCTCGGCAGAGCACTCAGGCCACCACAGACACCCGTGACACGAGTGACATCAAGATGGCCACGCCCATCCTGGCCATGCCCACCCAGGCCCCCGAGATCAAACACAACGCTGATGCGGCCCTCAATGAAATCGAGTTTGACATCCCTACTGTACACCATGCTGGCTCTCATTCATAAATAATCAGATTAAATCAAATTCTAGGTTTTTTTTTCCCATCTCCAGAAAGTTCATCGGTATAAATCTAGCCATTTTTGCTCTAATTTGGTTTCACATAAACTGCACCAATTTCTTTTACCTTGTGGAAAGCAGTAAACTCTTCTCAGTGAACTAGCTGAACATGCTGATTATCTGTGTGGCAGCAAAAAAAAAAAAAAAGATTATTCATCCCTGTTCTTGCTGGATTGGGATTATTCAGTATTTATAGTAATAACTTTATTGTCATTGTACATGTATACACAGTATACCCATACAACGAAATTCACTTAATATCCAAAGACCAGGTCCAACACATATAACAATCACCAAACACACCCCCACCCATCACCAACAATAAAATAAATAAATAAATAAATAAATAAATAAATAACTTTATTGTCATTATACATGTATACACAGTATACCCATACAATGAAATTCATTTAACACCCAAAGACCAGGTCCAACACACATAACAATCCCAAACACATTCCCACCGACCACAATTCTCCACCCCTAAACCACCCAAACATCCACACAACAGACCAAGTAATACTGTCCAACAGCTCACTGTTGGTGGCCCTTTAGTTCATTGTTGAGTGCAATTATAGCTCTGGGATAAAAACTATTCAGAAAATGTGTGGTCTGAGTTTTAATTGTTCTGTATCTTCTGCCAGAAGGCAACAGTTCAAAAAGATTGTAAGCAGGATGGGAAGAGTCTTTGAGAATATTATGCAACTTTCTCAAACAGCGAGATTCAAAGATGTCATCCGGGGCTGGTAGCTGGAATCCGATGATATTCTGGGCAGTTTTAATGATTCTCTGTAGAGCTTTTTTGTCCGCTATAGAGCTGCTCCCATACCATGCAAGAATGCTGTATGTCAGAACACTCTCAATGGTGCTGCGATAGTAGGACAGAAGATAGATTTATCTTCCTGAGCATTCTCATGAAGTACAGCCTCTTCTGAGCCTTCTTCACAATATATTATATTTTATATTATATTTTATATTATATAAAATACATTATATTTTAGATGTAACTACATGTTTCTGAGCCGTTGTATGCAGTATTGCAGGCTAACTCACTGCTCGTTGCCAGGAGTTCGATTCTCACTGGCTCAAGGTTGGCTCAGCTCTTCTGTCCTTCTGAGGTTGGTAAAATGAGGACCCAGATTGTTGGGGGCAATATGTGTAAACCATTTAGAGAGTGCTGTAAAGCACTATGAAGCAGTATATAAGTCTAAGTGCTATTGCTAAGCATTGTAAATCCTCTGATCTAAGCTTTAATTTCTATCTATCTATCTAAAGTCTATTCATTTACACAGTTTAGTTTTTATTAACATTATAGACAGAGACATATATAGGGGGACAAGGGGGACAGTGTAACCATGCAAATTCCACCCCGTATGTACTTACTAGTGATATCTCAGAGCAAGTTTGAAAGAATGACATTTATATAGTGATATCACAATCCAACTTTTGTCATCTGGGGTGTAATCATGGCTAGATATAGGTTCCTATGTGTCTATGTAATATGTATGTATGCATGTATGTACATTCATATACATATATGCTCACCTACAGGAAAAGTCACATCCACTTCCAACTAGCTAATTCACTTCTTTCAAGATCCAACAATCTACTGAGGAAAATTAAATAGAAAAAAAAAATAAATTGAATAAGATATAAGTGAATTTAGGAGACCTGTTTTTGAAAAACCAGATAAGAATATCCATTCCTATTAGAAAAAAGAAATAAAATGGTGGGGATTATTTAGCTAAACAATGGAAAAGGAAAGAAAAGCCATATACAGTATACAAATAGGAAAACCTCCTGTTCCAAATTCACCAACAGGTTGTTTGTTTTTTTAATGGTGAACCTAAACCTGTGTAATAATAAACTAGAGAATTTTCTAGAGAATTCTTTCAAACATTTGTGTTAAATGAAAATGAGCCATTTGTGCCTGTTTTCTTAAATAAAGTAATATTTAAACAAAAACAACGCAACTACTTCCTTAAAGGTCTGTAAACAAAAGGCCACTGTTAATCTAATAACCTGCTTCTCTCTCTCTTTTCTTCTCTCCTTGTACTAACAAACTGAACTGAGAAGGTTCCTAATTGCTAAGAGATAAGGTAATTGAGTGGTCTCCAGGGTTCCATTCAGTATAACAAACTTCAATATAGGTGACAAATGTCGATCCATACCACAGGATTAATATGGTTGTGCTTGGCTTCCTCTTTAGCTATCCATTTGCTCTTTGGGTCTAAGTAACATTTTGATTACTTGGAAAGAACTGATGGAGTTTTGCAGTTAATGAGGCTGTCAGGTAATTTATCAAATGGAGCTTCCATGTTTGAAGGCAGGAAAGAAAGAAGGTTATGTGCAAGTTAGCAAAGTCTACCTAACTGCTCTGAATTTAAAAGAAAAGTGCACCTCTTGTATGGCTTCTGTTTTAACACAGTAGCTGGTCCTGAGTTCAGATGCTTCGTGTTAAAGAGCTCCTCAGTGAACCAAGAGGTAATACCGATTATCGTTTTCATCCTGTCTAAGCAATTAATTTGTCACCCACTGTACTATCTGCCAGATTGTTGGTAAACTTTCCAAATGACCACAGGAAACCGATAGCATCTCATAGGCTCCTGGGTAGGATCATTGTACAGTAGTGGCCAAAATTGTGGAAACCTTTTGGGAAAAGTGTATTTTCTAAAACTAGCTCTCTCTCTTTTTTTTTTTTTTTTAGTAATACCATAAAATTATATATCAATGGGAAGATAATTTAATCAATAATGTAATGCAATAACTTTTATGAAGGATTTGCTATTAGAATAGGAGTTACAGTATAAAGAAGAAAAGTGAAACACATAGAAAAAATGAGATATACAAAAATTATCACCATAGAAAAAATGAGATATACAACAATTATCATGTCAGTTAATACTTAGTTGGATAACCTTTAGCATGAATTACGGCCTTACAACATCTTCCCATGGAGTGAACCAAGTCTTTTAGTTCTGGAGCTGTTATAATGTGAAACCAAGATTGAATGACTGTTTCTATTAACTGGGCTTTATTGCTGCGTCGCTTCTGACTAACAAGTTTCTTTAGTTGGCTCCATAGATTTTCAATTGGGTTAAGGTCTGGGCTATTCCCAGTCCAGTCCAGTAGTGGAATATGATTATCTTGATACTCCCAAAAAAAAAAAAGTGGTGTTATTAGCCATAAAACCTCAAAACTACACTTCTCCCAAAAGGTTTCCACAATTTTGCCTACTACTGTACAGTAGCCTGCTTAAATAAATGTAACTTAGAAATCTTGGAGTGGATTTACATATGAAATATACTCTGAGATCAGATCTGCTATTGAAATTTCTTGAGCCTCCTCTTGGCATCAGGATGGTAAAATTCAAGGTTTTTGTAAAATAAGCATTACTTCAGCCACAAATTTTGCTTCTGCTCAGCAATTGATCAGAGTGCTTAGTGCTGCAAACATTCCCATATTCATAAGATATTCGTTTGAATGCATCTGCCCTCTACAGCTGCACATTATAAAAATTTGATTCTTTCCAGAATAAAATTAAACAGTAAGAATCACAGATGGCAATAAGATGGCAGTTTCATGGACAAATTATTGCGATTGTTGGGTTTTGTTGTATTTTTCACCTAAAAATACAAGTATGGGATGTTTGTAAGCCTCTCTGTATTTCGTATGTCTAATAATTTTATTAAACATATCAAAATATAAAATACAAATGAAAATAGTGGCAAAATGAGGAAGGGAAAAGTGGAAAGAGAGAAGTATTGTGTAAAGGGGAGAAAATAGAGAAAAACATCAACCCTGGCTCTTTTTAGCAGAGTAGAATAAAATAATAACATTTTATTTTTATATAAAATATTATTATTCAATCAATAATACTTTTTTTTAACTTTTACATCTCAGGTACAAAATTTAAAAAACAGTTTCCAAATAGAAACATCATTGGGTGTATTCTTTTTTGATTATTAGAGAAATTAATTTGGTTCCATCATTTTTTCCAGCCATTCCTCCATTATGGAATTTAACATATCTTTCCATTTTTGTGTATAAAGCCTTCTTTCTGCTGTCAACATAAACATATGTTGTTCAAGTTCTTTATCCATTAAACCTAAAAGAGGTTAATGTTTAATTTTTATATTCATTTTCAGAATCTTATGTATGAAAATATGAATCTTATTCTAGTATTTCTTTGCTTTATCACAAGTCCTCCAAACACTCCCTGCACTTTATCAAAGGGCCACGTGTCTTCTTGGAGTGTTGAATTACACATGACACATCTGACTGATGGTCAAACGTAGCCATAAATCTCTACTTCAGGTTGAGGATTAGAAAATTGCTAGTTTTATTCATTCAGTTTAAACTACTCATCCAGCTGCTGGCCCAGAAATACAGCTTCCTCCCTTGAAACAGATTTATGAATTCTATAAAATAAAGAAATCCCTATCTCACTAAAAGGTGGAGAGGGGTAGAAGTATTGAATGGGGTGAAGCCTTCTAGGCAAAAACTCATATTAATCATTGGAAAGAGATGATCGGTCAGACCGAACTTTATTTCAGTCATTGACCAATAATGATAGGTCATTCCTCAGTTTTCAAATAAAACCATCAAATGTCTTGCACTTTTCATTTAAAAGTTCTAATAGCTTATCATGTGGCCACCTGTCATCAACAAATCCAAAAACAGGAACTGGAACATAATAGTATACATGCTGAAACTGTATCATTTAGCAGGGAAAGATTAAATAGATGTATGAAAATTATGAAATTATATTTCTTACTAGACTGTACTTTATGAAGCAGCTAAACATGAATATATTGTTCCACAACCTTTATGACAGACTCTATTTCTCAATCAAAAAATGCAGCAGAGGGAGAATTCCTTCATGATATTTTCCTTTGGGAGTTAACTGACACAACAATGGCAACTAAGACTGCTGTAGTTCACAGAAGAGGAACATCATACATAAGTACAGTATATCAGAGCCATTTACAGTTCTTTTTTAGGGAGTGATCTCATCAAATTCTGTTTTTCTCTAAATTTTAAATTTACAGCCCAGAGAAATTAATCAGACCAAGATGGAGGCAAACAATTTAATTTCTGAAATGGAAGAAAGGTCATTT